CCTTCCCACTCAGCCACAACAAATGTAAAAATCATATTGAAGTCATAAATTGCCAATACGTTTTGGTAACAATCTCCCTTTCCCCTACTTCCATATAAGTCTTGCTTCTTAGCAGGGACAACAACATGTATTAAAGTGCCATCAAGTACACCAACCGCTCATTTGAAAACCCGTCGTAGCCTCTTAATATGTCCTGGAATGTTTGGATTCAGATTAAAAGAAGTTGGTACTATAACGTATTGTGCGAAAAGCATCATCTTTTACAACACTTCATAAAAAAATTTATGAATTGTTTTCTTCGAGTGTAGAAATCTCCGCTTCATAATCACGTAACGTTGATTATGGCCGATCATCATAAAAAACGTAGTCATCTTTTTCTCAACCGATACATGTTTGTTGTCCTTCAATGAGTAATTTTCTATAAAATGAGCGCATAGTCGTACAAAAGAGTGATAGGACATGCGTAGTACTTCAACACATTGTAAACAATTACGATGCAATAACTCTCACATGTATTCTTGTCTCGTCATTTCCGAATCATTGTCCCGCAATCGTTTCATACTCCTCTTCCAAAAATAACGGATGTACAAGTACACAAGAATTACGAGAAATATCTTTTGATTGTGATGCATTATGAACCTAAAATCGACAAAGTAGCAAAAAACATTACATTAACCATATTTCAAGTAGCAAAAAACATTACATTAATCATATTTCAAGTAGCAAAAAAACATTACATTAACCATATTTCCAGTTGCAAAATAGCATTGCATTAATCATATTTCAAGTAGTGGAACATGATAACTAAAGGTAAGTGATTATTATAATTTCATTTGTCATGTATATATGCGATTTAAGAAATAAGTAATCAGTCCATGGTCATTGTTAATATATTAGTAACTTAGAAATGATAATAAGTGTATCCATGAAAATATACATGCAAAAACGTTAAAAAAAATAATCAGTGAATGGTAGTAGGTACAAAGAAAACCGTAAGTACAAATATTCATAAATGAATATATCACCGAAATAAAATTACAAATATAGTGAATGAGTTTTAGATTATTACTTTTTAGGTATGTTTATGTAAATGTAATGGGATTCATGAATAATTTAGTAGAATTTAAACTAGCTTATTATAGAAAACAAGTTTTAGAGATTTTATGTATGTCTGTGTAAATGATTGAATTCATAAATGATTATGTCTGTTTTGTGTTATTTCGGAATACGAGTTTATAATTTGGTTGTAACTATGTTTAAATTTGTATATGTCGTTTATGAATGACACATAAAGAGAAGATATAAGAAAGATTGAAAAAGAATTTTCTATCAATTTATATTTATATATGAATAAAACTATCAATCGAGTGTAATTAATTACAATATACAAATGAATGACATAATCTACAACACGAGTTACCAGTCTGCAAATTTCTATTCACATCTGAGTTAATCAAAACAGTACTATACAACAAGAAATAGTAATCTAGACATTTGTATTCATACAGGAATTAAACCATAAAAATTGTTATATTTAAAGATAAGCCAAATGTATACCATAGGTTTAAAATTATGCATAACTAGTAGAATGACATCGTTATTATTAACCAAAAACATTCAATTGGGCTATCACATCACCATTTTAACTAAAAACTACATTGTAAATTTAAACTAATACATCTTAAATGATTAAACACAATATATTGTTGGTTTCCTATTTTCTTTCTTGTCTTGAATCTTTTGATTTTAAACGGGATGCTTTGACAACAATTCGTACTCCTTTTGCCGATGAAATCCGCTTGATCTCAGTGTAATATTAAATGAATGATGAAGGTATCAAATTGAAAATTTATGTGAACAACAAATAAAAAAAAAGAATTAAATGAATACATCTTAAGTTACTTATGAGTTCCTACATCTCCAATTATATTTTTAAATGAATACAACTATAATCATAAATAAATTGCTACATTTATATTCATAAATGAATATTCCTATAATCATAAATGAATTCATATACACACATTCATAAAAATCACACAAATAGATATAACAAAATTATATAACTCAAATTGATAAATTCATTAAATCACCACAACAACTCAACAAAATATAAAGATGAATACTTCATAATACTTATTTTGACCAAATATAATATTAAAATAACTATGTTTGACATGTTGGATGAAAACTTGAAATAGTAGAAATAAATACAAGAAACTCTAAGAATTCAAAAAAAAAAAAAAAACACAAACAATAACTCCCCTGACTATTTTATTGTAGTTCGTGTATGGATTTTTTATATCCCCCAGCCCATCTGTTAATTCTAATGACAACCTAAAGTTGAAAATATACTCATAACATATCTAATCCTGTTGTTCAAACCTACAAATTAGCTTCAATCGAGTAACCTGAAAATCAATTTTCAATTTCTTCATATCGTTTTGGGATAGGTAGTGTTGGACAACCTGATGACAAAATTGAAAAGAGCTCATCATTATTGAATAAACAAGAAGCCATTGATGCATGGGGTGGTGCTTCTAGATTACGACCAAGCCCTTTTTTCTAAATCGTTTGAAGATATCATGAACAAGAGAGACAGAAAAAAAAAACTAGAACTCAAACTGAAATCTAAATTAAAGCTTACCTAACACGACGGAGGCAATGTCGATGACGGCGGCGGAAGTTTATGATTCTGATGGAGATAATGGCACTGATGGAAAAGTTGACAATGGCGATAGAAGGGTCTGTTTAGATGAAGAAGCTGAGACCGGTGGAAGAGAGTTACTATAAAGGTGATGAGGGTCCAACGGCTGTGTGACGGAGGAATGGTTACCGATGACAATTGGTGATGGAGTATATTCTTGGTCGGCGTTCAATGGTGTGATACAGGGGGGCAAATTTCCAAACGCCCAACCCATGGTATATACAGGATTTTAAGGAAACGAAACAAAAATTGGAATCACGGATGGTTCGTTGGTAAAATGTGTCAGGTAGACGCCACATCAACTTTTATAGTTTTACCTTCGTTCCGTTCATTTTGTTCAACCTCCGACAATCCTATGCCGGCTGAACCGCCATCAAGGAAAGTTCTGCAACCAAGGAAACCTCCAGACCCAAACATTCAACTATCATCGTCAATCCCAAAACCTTCTATGATGCAACGAAAAAGACGATCGACAAGTCCATATGCACGTGACCAAAGACCCGCCGTGTCTGCCAGAGTGTACCGCAACAATGGAAACCAAGAAACAAACAATATTCCCCCCTCGTTGATTGAAAAACTTGATTCTAGAGGATTGCTTTAGAACCCTGAACCAGCCATACAAGCCGACAATGAAATAGATATAAGAAATAAAATTGCACCACAAATACATCCCCCAATGAAACCTGGAATTCTACCCTGCTCTACTGAACAACAGGTAACACATACACCTTTTATGGCTAATCCTAATCATAAGTGTCCGTTAAACACTACCCAATCAACAGTCATGAATGCTAATGAAGCTTCAAATGGAATATGGTTCGAGTTAGACCCTATAAACTCAATGAACACAAGAAACCTACTGTACAGTGGGATCATAAAGGATGTAGTAACCCATGCTAAACCCGCCACCAATACTGAGAACATCTCCCACTCAAATACACAGACCATTCTTATGCTTACAACAAACCACCATGACCCCAACCTAGTAAAAAACTATCGATCCTATGCTAATGTTACTTCCGCGGTATCTCGAAGATCGAAAGCAAAACTACAATACTTCCCACTCTCATCGAGTGAAAATGATATGAGCCCTGTGGTAATTCCGATACAACTATGTGAACAAGCAAAAGAAAAGCATGCCAACACGTTATTTGGTTATTTTATAGGAGCAAACCCCTCGTTCAACACAGTACGAGATCATGTGAAAGAGAAGTGGGCAGCATGTGGTATTACTGATATAAAAAGAAATGGAAAGGGCTTCTACTTATTCAAGTTCAGCACTGAGCAAGGAATGATGAATGTTCTTCAAAGTGACCACTGGATGATTAAGGGAATCCCAATCTTCATTCAAAGATGGCAAACGGGTACTTGTCTAACTAAAGCTAAACATGACAAAGTACCTGTATGGGTCAAAATCCATGACATTCCTCTTGAAGCATGGAGTGTGGAAGGGATAGGGAGAATTGCTAGTAGAATCGGAATTCCCTTAGACATGGATACTTACACTGAAGATATGTGCGTGGAAGGTAAGGGGAGATATGCCTATGCTAGGGTTCTTATTGAAATCTCAGCTAACAAACCGTGGGAGGAATACATAGAAGTTCAAACATGGGACCTGAATACTAAAACTGGAGTCAACCACTCGTTACAATTAGAATACTCCTGGGTTCCAACAAGATGTGACAAATACAAAGTTTATGACCACTCCAAAAGCACATGCCCTCTACAAATCAAGGAGAATCCTATAGCTACACAAGCCACAACAAGCATTCCCACTCCAATCTTTGGTGCTAAAGCTAACACGGATGGATTCACATTGGTCACTAAAAGAAAAAGAAACACAGACAAAACAAGAGGAAGAAGCAGAGGGCCACAAAAAGCTGTTAATAACAACCCCAATCCTAAAGAAAATGATACTCAACACATGGCATCCAATTTGGAGAATAACACCGAGAGCAGGAACGAACCAGTATCAGAGCAAGACAAATCAGTGGCATCCGAAGAGGGCACAAGTGGTTTCAAAATAGTAAATAATGTTACTTATGAAGACGGAATGAATATCGAACCCACTGAGAATGAAGTGGAAGCAGCAGTCTTCGAGAATGACAGTGACATGATGGAGAAACTCCATACTACAAACAGGTTTGCTTCTCTAGTACCTGATGATGATACCGAGATTCAAAGGGATGAAACACATGAGAACCGTATGGGAGGAAAAAATAGTAGAACACACACAAAGCGTAAATCATGAGGCAACCATGGTGAATGTTGTCAAAATCAATCCAGTTTCTCAATGATGAAATCCATGGTTTGGAATGTTAGAGGATTGTGTAACTCCTCTAATCAAAAAGAAATGGTGTCAATGATGGATAGAAATGGGGTCTCGATGTGTGCTCTCTTGGAAACTAGAGTTCATATTTCTCGTATTAACAAAATCTGCCATAGGATGAAAAGAAGTTGGCAATGGTGCTCGAATGCTAGTTTATGCAGTAGAGGTACTAGAATTGCTATTGGCTGGGATCCAGGAGCTTGGGATGTTTATGTTATTCATAGCTATGATCAAATTGTGCACTTTAGAGTTCATCCAAAAAACTCTAACCACACCTTCTTCATATCCTTTGTTTATGCTGAAAATGACTACAGAGATAGAAGAAGACTTTGGGACTACTTACGTATTCATCACTCACTGGTCAAAGATCAACCATGGTTAATTGTGGGTGACTTTAACCAAGTTCTTAAACCAAGTGAATCTACAAGATCAAGCTCTTATGATTGTTTAATTACTGAGTTCCAGAGATGTATTGATGATATCAATATAGCTGATATTAAAGACACGGGCCTCTACTATACCTGGAACCAGAAACCTCGTGGTAATGGTGGGCGCCTAAGGAAACTTGATAGAACTATGGGTAATACCAATACCTTATCTATGTTTCCCAGACTTCATGTTATGTACAAACCGTATGGCATTTCAGACCACTCCCATTCTCTTATAAGCTTTCCTATTGGCAAACCGAAAAAAATCTTATGATTTCAAATTTGTTAATAATATCACCAATCATCCCAAATTTCATGATACTGTTCAAGCAATTTGGGACAATAGGGTTGAAGGTCACACCATGTAGTCGGTTTTTCAAAAACTAAAGAAGCTCAAACCCCCCATACATAAGCTTGGTCAACAACTGGGAAACCCATCTTGAAAGGTGGAAGCTTTGAGAACCGAGTTTGAAAAATCCCAAGAACAACTTGATCGTGATCCAGAGAATGAAGAGATTAGTTTGGAACATGCGGTGTACATGGAAGAGTTCACTAAAGCCTTAGGTGAAGAAGAAAGTCTCCTTAGACAAAAAGCGAAACTTATTTGGCTCAAAGACGGAGACATGAATACCAAATTTTACCACAAAGTCATCAAAGAAAGACAAAGCAGAAATAAGATTAACTCCATTACGGGTGGTGAAGGTGTGGTGCATGGAGTTGATAAGGTCACTGATATTGCCATTGCACACTTCTCTAATTTCCTTGGAAAGGCTAGAGTTGTCGAACCTATAATCTCTCCTAATGACCTTTTCAGAAATACCTTAACGAATGAGGATGCAAACTGGATGATTAGGCCAATTGAAGATGAGGAAATCAGATAGGCCATATTCGATATTGGGAACGACAAAGCTCCACGTCCCGATAGGTATACTTCTACCTTCTTTAAAAAGGCCTGGCACATTGTGGGCACTGAAGTGAGCAAAGCAGTAAAAGAATTTTTCCTCAATGGTCAGCTTTTACAGGCTGTCAACCATACGATCTTGGCCCTGCTCCCTAAGGTGGAAGTTCCTAATACTATGAAGGATTTTCGCCCTATATCATGTTGCAATGTCATTTATAAATGCATCACAAAAATCATCGTGACCAGGATTGCTCCGTCTCTCCACAAACTGGTTGTTGTGAACCAATCTGCCTTCATCCCGGGAAGAAATATAACTTATAACATCCTTCTGTCTCAAGAACTGATGTGTGGTTACACCCGTAAACATGGCAGCCCCAGATGTGCTCTTAAGGTGGATATTCAAATAGCGTATGATACAGTGAATTGGAATATTTTGGAGCAAACTCTATGGGGTTTCGGCTTTCACCATAGAATGATCCAATGGATAATGAAGTGTGTTTCGACCACTTCTTATTCTATCAGCATTAATGGAGAAAATAAAGGGTATTTCATGGGGCAAAGGGGGCTAAGACAAGGCGACCCATTGTCGCCCTATCTTTTTACACTTATCATGGAGGTCTTTAACCTTATGATAAAAAGGCGTATACAACAGAACCCTAAGCACAAGTATCACTGGAGGTGCGAGAAGCAAAAACTAACCCATCTTTGTTTTGCAGATGATCTGTTAATCTTCAGCCATGGGAGCATTCAAGAAATCCTGGTGGTCAAAGATTCTTTAAAGGAGTTTCAAGTAGCAGCGGGCCTGACCCCAAACCCTTAAAAAAGCTCGATTTTTTATGGCAAGATCAATGATGCTTTAAAAGCCCAAATCTCGAATATTTTGGGTTTTGAGGAAGCAAAACTCCCTGTTCGTTATCTTGGTATTCCTTTGATTGGGACTAGAATGCTTGTCAAAGACTGCAACAAACTGGTGGAGCAAATTAAAGCGCGAATTCAGAACTGGAAGCATAGAGCTCTGTCATTTGCTGGTAGACTTCAACTAATAAATTATGTGCTCCAATCCCTGCAGGTTTACTGGTGCTCGGTTGTTCTCCTTCCCAAAACAACTATCAAAGACTTAGAAAAAGTCTTTAAGGGTTTCTTATGGAATGGTGGCGACTTAAAGAAAGGAAGCGCTAAGATTGCGTGGAAAATGGTGTGTCGACCTAAAGAAGAAGGAGGATTGGGAATACGTAACTTACAGACTTGGAATGAAGCTCTTCTCTCCCGTCAAATTTGGAGACTTTTTACTGCAACAAGCTCTCTATGGGTTGATTGGGTTAAAATCCATCATCTTAGAAAACAAACCTTTTGGGAGGTTAAAAGCAAGGATCTTGAAGGCTGTTCGTGGTCTAATATGCTCTCTTTGCGAGACAAAATATGGAAACATATATGGAGAGTACATGGGGATGGAATGAGCATAAATCTATGGTATGACAATTGGCATGCAGGTGGCCCATTGATCAATATCATAACGGAAGATGAAAGGAATCTTCATGGGCTACCCAACGACCTCACGGTGCACCAGTTTTGTAGTAATCATACCTCGGGGTGGCCTTGGGAATGGGGAGATCGGTTCCCTAATATCCAACTCCAGGGTCTCCCTAATCTCGAAATAAATAAAGATGATGGGATTTATTGGCGGGACTTGGAAGGAAAGAGTGTTGAGTTTTCCCCTACTCAAGTGTGGAAGGATATCAGGATAGCCAGCCCGGTCGTTCCTTGGTATAAGGTGGTTTGGTTTAAGCTCAACATTCCAAGCCATGCTTTCATTCTTTGGCTTGCCATTCATGATAGATTGATGACACAGGAACGAATGCAAATATGGCAAAACTCGGCGAACCTCAAGTGTATGCTTTGTAAGATGGTGTCTGACTCGACGACCCACTTATTCTTTGAATGTCAGTATTCGCATGGGGTTTGGACTAAAGTGTGTGATATGTGTAATATCCAATTCCCGGATTTCAGGTTGAAAAAAATAATCGAGTACCAAATTCCCCGCCTTCAAAGCAATCACATACAAACAGAAATTGAGAAACTTGCTTTGGCTGCCACGATCTATTTGATTTGGAGAGAAAGGAACTCTCGTCATCACAATGGAAGCACTGCTTCCCAAGCAAAACTAGTGAATCAAGTTCTTAACTCTCTGAAAACTCGGTTTTGAGGTCTTCCTTTCAAATGGTCGGCTCCTATGGAAGAGGTGTACAAAAGATGGAAAATTCCTAGGCCTAGCAATTGGCCGCCAATCAATGAAAATGGTCATGGTACTTAATTTGGTTGAGGGGTCGTGGTTTATTCCCGACGGTCTAATCTTATGGCTTGTGGGCTTTATGAGTATCAATATTTTTCTGTGTAATTTTCTTAATTATGTCGCGGTTTGGGGTCCAACAACTGGACCAACTCTTTGCTAGTCGGTCTTTCCTTCTAGCTTGTATTGTATTAGTTCTATTTTCTTTTTAATGCATTTGCTGGAGGCGTTGCCCTATTTTCCCAAAAAATACTTTTATAGTTTTTAGAATTTTTACCTACGCACTAGGATGTATTAAATGGTGTACCTATGTTTTTTTATTTCAATAAAATGTACGAAGTTTTTTAAAAACCATACTAAAATTAAAAATTACATAAAATTAAAAATTATATTTTAGAAATCCTAAAAATTAAAAATAACATGAAATTAAAAACTACTTTAAAAACCTAAAAAAATGAAGTGAACTTTTGTTTTTTTAAAAAAAACCTAGCCCCTTGCTCGATTAAGCTAATTTGCAGTTTGAACAACAAGATTAGACATCATTAAGATTAACGCCTACGTGACCATCCAATGGACACATTTCTTCGATGTCGTCGTTATCATCATTAAGATTAACTCCTACGTGACCATCCGATGCCATTTGTTGTGAACTCAAATATGAAGATGTTCGGCTTCTTTTTGGTGGATTAACTATTTCTTCATGTGTTGCAAGTTCCCGATGTGTGTTTTTTTTAACAAATTCGCTCCACTTTCTCCTCTAGTCCATTACTTTTCAAAGTTTGTATAAATTTCATTCCAATGCGTCACGAGCTTGTTAACAAAATTTCATTTCGAGTTACATTGGTCGGAGGTCCGATAATTTGGATCTCGACCCATTCCCTTACAAAACTGTTTCGTGACACGTAACCAAAACTGATCACGATTTTAACCCTTTCCCGTGCCACCATCTTTGAATATGTCGATCTATTCCTTCGTAAACTCAATTTCTTCTTTTTGTGTCCACCTTCTCGGATCGGCCTTCCCTTTTTTTTGTTGAGGATATTGTTCTTCGTGTTCAGAATCAGAAAGAATTTCGGTTGAAGGTGTGAAAGTCGGTTGGGATTGAAATTAGAATTAGGCGTGGGATGGTTGGGTTTGCGGTTGGCTATGGAATTGACATTTTTGTGGCATTTGGAATTGTGAATAATAGCTAGGAACACCATTCATTTGTGCCTGTTAAGGTTGTGGTGTGATAACGGATCGTAGCCAAAAGGTGCGAACGGGTTGGAAACATTTTGGTTTGGAGCATTTTGCTTGGAAGAGTAGTGATTGTTGGAAGACATTTTGAATGAAAAATGTGTAAAGTGTGTAATTTGGTAATGTTTTGGAAGAATGGTATGTATATATAAGTAAACTTTTTTAACAAAAAAAATGAGAAAGTAGCCGTTGATAACCATTGGCAACATTCCATTCCAAACCCAACGTTCGATTTTCAAAGTTTTGCCACCGGTAGAAACTCACTGCCGGTATTATAAATGCGGTAAATTTTATGGTGAGCCCTGTGTTTACCGGCGGTAATGAGGTCTTGTGTATGCTGGTGGCAAATTTACGACATTTCTTAGCCTTATGCGTATTTTGAAATTTCATATTCATCCCTACAATTTTAAAATTTACATAAATAGTTTGTTTGATAATAGCCTATGATCTAGTTATTTGGACACCAAAGGGCTTCTCGCCCAGCGGTACCGGGTGTTGCCCTCCCTCCTAGAGGTTGAGGGTTCAAGTCTCATTGGAGACATAGGTGGTATTAGGAGTAGTTTAGGAGTAGTGTTGATTTGTCGTTCTAAAAAAAAGTTATTTGGACGGTTGTGATCTGTTCTTCCATTCTCAACCTTTTAGATGTTCTCAAATTAACCTATATATATGTAGTGTGTTTGAATCGAGTATTAAGAACAAAATCAAGACCAAAAAGCATTAAGAACACAATCGTAAATAAGTTCTATTTGACTCGTTGATTTGTCTGAAAGAGTATACAAGTACAAGAGAGAGAGAGAAAGTGAACGATGTGCTCAAGAGCTACTGTCTTTCAAGAGTATACAAGTACAAGAGAGAGAGAAAGTGAACGATGTGCTCAAGAGCTACTCTCTACTTCTATACTAACCCTATTTATAGGGTGATACAGACTAACAAAAAATATGTAAGGACTAGATTTTACGCTTTTACATCTAACATTTCCTTACAAAATACATACATAGCAAAGTGCTTGACTTCGACACTAAACATACCAAAATTGGACTTCGACACCTCACTAGACATTTCGACCCTTACAATATATATATATATATATATATATAATATATATATATATATATATATATATATATATATATAACCATGATCAAATAAAAAGGAACAATTTACGAGTATAAGTGGATCATTGATCAACCAAAAAAATAAATCGTTAGATGATACAAAAAAAACATGATTTCTAATAAAAAAAATTCAGAAAAAAACACATCGATGATTTATTTTTTACTAAATCTACTTTTGATTCGTTTTCGGCCATTTCCAGTTAGTCATCGCAAAAGTGGATCATTGATGTATTTTTTAGATTATTTATGCGAATGATGTTAGTTTTACATTATTTAATAATTTTTTCGTTGGTTCGTCAAAAATTTATGTAAATAGTGTTTGTATATATATATATATATATATATATATATATATATATATATATCTATATATATATATATATATATATATATATATATATAATAGAGAACCATTATTAATCAGAAAACCAAGAAACCAATCTATAGCGTCGGAATTTAAAACGATCAACAACAAAAAGTAAAAGTTGTAGACTTGTAAGTTCCCAAATCGATTTGACGTATTAATCCGATCCACTTGATGGTGTGGAATCCCAATCAAGTGGATGATGCAAGATAGAATGAAGAAGAAGAAGAAGAAGAAGAACAAGTTGAATCTTCAATGCATTCAATGATTTGAATGATGATCCGGTTACATAAGATTCATACATACACTTGCACTTTCTCTCTACTTTCTCTCTCTAGAACTCCAAGATATGACAATGGTAGCCTCCAAAACATCCCACCCTCTCTAATGCTTCCTAAAACACGCCTCTTCCCACCATATTTATACATATGGACTAAATCCCAAGCCCAAAACCCAATAGCTAGACCGAAATTACATGTGATTTCGGTCCAAGCTACAACTAAACCCAATAATGTTTTCGGCCCTAGACCGAAAACTACAAAAGCCTAGAAAAGCAAAGTATAAACCATATTTTAGACCCAACAATCTCCCCATTGGTTTATAGCTTTCTTTTCTTTTGACCTAACAAACTCCCCTAGGTTTGTAGCTTGCTTTTCTTGTCAATCTTCAATTTCAGCTTGGCTTCAGCGTTTATCTTCGATTTCTTCACAACTTCAAGATGAACATATGAATCTTCTATGTGAATGACTTCATCTTGAATGGATTGGCTTTTCTTCAAAATTTGACTTTGAACGCACGTTGGGTGTGGAGGCTTCTTGTAAGGATTCTTGAAAATCAGCACTTTCAGCTAGAGAATCTTCAGAGAGAATATCAGAAAGATCGAATCTTCTGGATCACTTCAGGAGGTTCACAGATAGCAGCAAATTGATTGAGGAGGTATAATGCAATCTATCACATAATCTTCAAATACAGTTTCACCTTGCTTCTGGGGTTGAAAGATTTTGTTGAAAAATTAATCTTCATTTCTTGTTCCTTCGAGTGAGAATTCTTCAATGATAACCATTGCGCCTTGAAAAGCAAGAAATGACTAAAAAGTCCCTGTGGATCACAGAGTTACGAAAAAACCCTTCTCACCACAGTTGTTCAAGGATGTAACCTTGGCTCAGAAAGTTCTGATACAGTCTCCTTGAGTCTCTTCTCCCTTTAAGTTCTCTGATTTTTTAATTCGCTTTTCAAGACCAAGAAAATTTTGAGATAAAAACAATACTAAAAGTAAAACTTAGCACACAAAAAAAATACTAAGAAGTAAAAAACCAAAAATAAAATACACTCAAAAGTAACACAAAAGTATTTTTGGATTCTTTTTGATTTTTCTGAAAAAGAAATAAAAACAGAAATAAACATATTTTTGGATTTTTAATTTTCTGATTTTTGTTTGATTTTTAAAATTTTAATTCTCCCCCTAAATTTTTGCATAGAGGAAAACTATGAAAAAATTTAACCGAAACAAAAATGATAACTAAATTTAAGATTGATTTGGGATCAAAGTTGTCATGCAATTCAATATCGTTTATAAAGACACACATGCATGTTTAGATCTAATCAATCACTGGTATTGTGGTCCACTTAAACACGAAGGATATTTGACAAATTGGACAGATTATAAGTGACAAGACATTTCACCTATATTCCTAAATGGCCCATTTAGCTGACGACGACCAATGATATTGTTGTCCACTTAAATTCAGTAACGAGATCTACAGACAACCTTTAAAATGGTTCAATTTTAGATGTAATAGAACGTGTTCCCCACTTCCCGATATACCCCGGTAATCAAGAACTTCCAAAAGAACTCTTTACTTTAGGTGAGTATTCAATCATTAAGAGAGAAATCAGATATAGAAGTGCATATGTTGTATCCCTGGTCGGATGTCTTCCAATCACGCAGAGGGAACAACATGTGAATAACATAGATAGAGTTTTAGAGAGATAGTAGGGTGCATATGTTGTGTCCCAGGTCGGATCTTCCGATCACGTAGAGGGGACAACATATGGCTAACAGATAGAAAGAATTGCATAGAAAAGGAGATACATAGAGATAGAGTTGCATATGTTGCATTCCAGGTCGGATATGTTCCAATCACGCAGAGGAGGCAACATATGACTGATAGATAGAAAGCAAGAAAATGATTTCCTACAGA